GGAAAACTGGGGCAGGTCTAATTCACAGGGAGTGAAATGCCCTACCACTCATAGCAAAAGGCCCAGCCACGATTGCAGGAGAAGAACTTGACTTGTTTTTCTTCAGAAAGTCTGAGATGAGTGTGTTCGGCAGAAGGTGGTTCTGCTCCACCTGGTCATTCAGGAATCCAGGTTTCAGCCTCCTCCATCTGTAGGACCTTGTCACCACCTGCAAGGTCCAAGCCACTACCACATCTAGGTTCAGCAGGAGAGGTAATGAAAGAGCGTGCAGAGGATGCATATGTGCTGTTTTCAGGGCCCGGGACACATCCCTTTCACTCACTTTCCACTGGCAAGACTCCGTCATGTGACCTTACTGACCTATGAGAAGGGCTGGGAAATGCAGCTCCTTGCTGGGGGGGAGGGGGGCGGGGGGCACTGTGCCCTATGGTGACTAGTTACTGTGGCAAAAAAGGAGAAGCAATCTGGCTGGTCAGCTAACAGTCTGCACTCAGTCACCTCAAGCAGCGGGTCTAGGCCTCAGAACACCACATGCGACCCGGTTTCAAACAAGCTCCACTCCGTAGACCCCATCAGAAAACAGCTCTAACCTCCTGCTGCTTCTTTAAAGTGGCTCTGGGCTTTCTTTTCTCCTGTCCCTCGACAAAAACTTGGACTGTCCCATGATTTTTCTCATCTATACCAGAGGCACTTCCAATGACAAATACAGCCTCAATGAAAAATCCTTGGCTTATGTGATAATTGACATTTCAGTCTTCGTTCAAAGGACAGACTTCCCCTCCATCCCCCAGCTGAGGTCTACTGCGCACAAAAAGCTGGGATCAGGGGAAGAGAACGGTGGGCGAATTCTCTTTTTCGCTTTCCGCCTTCCCTTTAGCTAATTCCAGTTTCTCTCTCCTCCGTTCTTGGGAGATGGGTCTGGTGGGGGCGTGGAGAAGAGGTTAACCATGGCACTAGAATCTCAGGGGTAGTTCTGTAGATTTTTCAGGAACCATCCTGCCTTCGCTAGGAAACTGTCCCCTGCGGACATCTTGATGTAGTTCTGTGCATCTCTGTTTCGGTGGCTTGCTGCGTCCTCCCAGAGCCCCTAGGAGTGTTCCGATGACTGTAGATCCTCTGTGCTGAGGCCGCTTGTCTGGGATGCTCCCTTGGACAGGGCCTGAGGCACCCCCACACCAGCTTTCTCTCGTGGTTATCCCACATCCGGTCCATATGACACTCACATCCTTTGCCTCAGTCAACTCTAAGAGTATCAGTTCAGGAAGGATCTTCAGCATCTGACCCAGACAGCCTATCACCCATAACATTTACCAGGCAGAGGACAGACAGTGGTCCACAGAAGCCTCAGCTACAGGGACACACGTCAAGCACTACAGGCTTAAGGTGAGGAGCGGACACTCTCACAGCACTTTCCAAAAATTCTCTTTCCTAAGAAATCCTCTCACCACTGACTCTTTTATATCTTTGACGTAGGCGAGAAGTCTGAGAGTCACGTGGCTGGTTCTTGCCCATATATGTTGAGAATTTTGCCTTTGCTTCCAAAACCTTGCTTTGGAATCTGAGACCAATCTTGTTAGGGTCTCAGCCGAAGTGAAGGAGAGAGGACCGGGCTTCTCCGCCAGGTAGAAGAGGACTGGGGAATGGCACTCAGGAAGGGACTCCAGCCTCATCGAGGAAACGGGACGCAGAATATGAAAGTGAGTCAGAGCCCATGTAAGGGCTGAACCAACCTAGGTATCCCGGACACACACCTTAACGTGTGTCCCAACATGAGACACATAGCATTTTAATTGTTAATAACATAGTCTCATCTAAGACCGCTGGGGTGCAAATCTCAGCTCTGCTATCTGCAAGTGGAATGTCCTTAGGCAAATTACCTTTGGTATTGCTCAGTGATCGCTGCAGTAACGCTGTGTAACACACCACCCCCAAATACAGTGGCTTGCAACAAACATTTCTTCCTCTGCTTACTGGACTCCAGGTCAGTTGCAGTTTCATCGGTCTAGGCTGGGCATTGTGGGGCTCGACTCCAATACTGATCCTGTCTTTTTTTAAAGTTTCGATCTCTTGTTCATTGTGGATGTCTTTTTCCGTTTAGGCTGCTATAACAAAAATATCAGAAACTGGGCCTTAACAACACACCCATACGACAACATGAGCTAGCTTATAAACAACACACATTTATGTCTCACAGTTTCTGGGGGTTGGGAAGTCCAAGATCAAGGTGCTGGTAGTTTTGGTGTCTGCTGAGGACCTGCTTCTTGGTTCATAGATGGCTGTGTCCTCACATGGGGGAAGGGGCAAGGAGCTCTCTGAGGCCCCTTTTATAAGGGCACTAATCCCATTCATGAGGGCCCCACCCTCGTGGCCCAGTCACCTCCCAAAGGCCACCCAATCACCTAATACCAGTGGTTCTCAACCTGTGGGTCGCGATCCCTTTGGGGGTCAAACGACCCTTTCACAGGGGTCGCCTAAGACCATCGGAAAGCAA